TGTAGTCAGTGGCTTTGAAGCTGTCTGTGGGGAATGGAGGGAGAAGCTGTTTGGAGCTAATCCTGAAGTGGCGGCTGCATAAGTTCGATATTGATGTTCATGACTTGATCATTTTTGCGATTCTGTCTGTTTCCTCGGGTCAGGACACTCTAGACTTCTGTCTTTTATTTCTATCTTTTTTATTTCTATTCTTTTGTCAGATATCCATATTGATGTTTACTAGGCCATCTTTCATTATGTTTTCGTCCTAGTTGTTCATAGAGAGCTTCCTGGATCACATACCTATAAGCTTGAAATTGTGATACCATTCATTCCAATTCGATTAGTAGATTCATTCTTGCTCTTCTATTAGCTCAAAATTTATTAGAAAGGTACCCGCTTCGACATGCATCCTTGCATGCAACCTGTACCTGTGCGGGGCCAGTGCTGTCGTTGTCGTCGGAAGGTTTAAGTAGGATTGGCTAAACTCCGCCATTGTCGATCTAGGTATACATACATGTATGGAATAAAGAGACTAAAACATCTACAAAACCACCAAATTATACCAATAAATCTAGGAAAAGAATATATCATATTCCGAGCGAGCTGAAAGACAGAACTGGGGCCCCCATTAACAAGTTACGGGGTGAACATGGGTGAATGATACACGAAATATGCAGAAGGGTCATGAGAATAGCGCCAAAAAGAAAAGAGCTTGGATACACTTTTTAACGGGAAAGTCGTAGCTCGGTCGTTTACTGCTGCTGCTTCCACTTAGGAACCCACTTGCCACCGGCGGCGGGCTTGGATTCCGAAGCGGGAGCAGGAGACTGAGAAGAGGATTCGCGGGGTTGACGGGGCGCCCAGCGCTCGGTGGGAGCCTCACGGGGCAGAGACTCGCGGGGTTCACGGGGCTCGTGGGGAGCAGGGGGAGGAGGAGCGGATCCAGCGCTGGCGGAGGCACCGGCGCGCAGGTGAGGAGGAACGTATCCACCCTTGCGCAGAGGGGCGGGCTCTTCACGGACGGGGGCACGGACGGGGGCGCGAACGGGCTCACGAACGGGCTCACGAGTGGGCTCGGCGGGGGCACCACCGGCTTCCTTGGCGGCCAGACGTTCTCTCCAGCTGGAGGGGGCGGCTCCAGTGCGACCGGCGATATTGAGACGGGGTGCGGTTCGTTCGACTGGCTCTTCGTATCCACCCTTGCGAGCTGCGCGGCGGGCTTCGGCTTCGGCCTCTCTCTGTTGCTGCTTGATGGCGATCTCGTCCATTTTACTGTATGTCAAGTTAATATCAAAGTTGGAAGTACAACCAAAGTAAGGGAATACTGACGATCGCTCCTCATCGCGCTTAGCCTTCTCCTCAATCAAGATACGACGGCGCTCCTCCTCGCGGGCGACGCGTTCCTGCTCCTCACGCTCGGCGCGCTCCTGCTCCTCTTGGCGACGAGCCTCCTCTTCCTCGCGCTCCTGCTTCTCGCGGCGGCGGCGCTCCTGGACCTCCTTGACACGCTGCTTCTTCTTAGCCTCAAATTCGCGCTCGGCGGCCTTGCGACGCTTCTCGAACTCCTCGTGGCGCTTCTCGGAAACCTCCTTGCGGAAGTTGCTGAACTGGGGAACGAGACGACCCAGACGGTGCTTAAGAGCAACAGCCTCGGCGTGCTTCGCCTTGGCCTCACGCTGTTCCTCGGCGACCTGCTTCTCGTAAAGCTCCTTGTCGAGGGTCTTCTGGGCATCGTAATCGGCGGAGATGTGCTTCAGTTCCTCGCGACGGAAGGCACGCTCCAAGTGGTCGATACGCTTAGCAGTGGTGCGGATACGGTCGTTCAGTTCGTTCTTCTCCTTCTCAAGCTGAGCCAGCTTCATGGCACGCAGGCGGTTGGCATCAAGCTCGTCAAGGTCGATCTCGCTGACATCAATACCCTTAACACCAGTCTTGAGCTCCTCGAGCTGCTTCTTGAGCTCCTCCTGGCGAATGCGGTCCTGCTCATCCTTAATACGCTTGAGCTCACGGTCGCGCTGCTCATCAGCCAAACGCTGCTTCTCGGCATCCTGGAGCTGCTGGGCACGGACACGCTTGCGAGTCTCCTCCTCGCGCTGCTTGCGCTGCAGAGCATCGGTAGCGGCTTCCTTCTTCTTGTCGATAAGAACGCGACGGGCGAGGGTCTCCTCGTGCTCCTGGGTAACACCAGCAATGGCGCGGGCCTGGGCGGTCTGCTTGGCCTGAAGACGAGCCTGGCTGTAGGAGGGATCGACGTACATGCAGGTGACGTGGAGAGTCTTGGCGAGACGGGCGACCTGGAAGCGGGCGATCTCGGCGGGGGTGTGCTGCAGGCGCTGGACGGAGCCAACCTCACTCTCGGCGGAGCCAGCGCCGCTGCCGGCGTGGGTAGCCTTGGAGGAAGAGAAGACATCGGAGTCGAAGGTCAGGACGCCCGAAATGTGATCAACGCGAATGGCGAGGTCACCCTTCTTGCAACCGTTCATGATGAACTTCTCAATCATGGCGGGGGTGATCTGGAAGGGAGCGGGGAACTGGGCAAGCTCGTAGACGAACTTGAGCTCAACGGACTCGTAAACCTGGGACAGCTGCTGGAACAGACGGGTGAGAATGACCTGCTGCAAAGGCACAACGTACTTCTCCATCTCGGGGTCGTCACCAATCTGCTTCAGGATGGGGGTAATCTTCTTGCAGATGGACAGAGGGTGGAAGTCAACCTCGAGAATGTTGTACAGCTCGCGGATCTCGGGGCGCACACGGCGGAGCAGACCCTTGTTCAGAGCATCGCGGAAGAGCACGGTACGGGTGGGCGAGGTGGCCATGCCGAGAAGGTTAGTGAGACGGGTGTTCTTGTTCTTGCGAGCCTCATCCACATCGACCAGGGCGCCGCGGGAGCGGGAAGTGCTGATAACGGGAATGGACAGAGCGGAGAGAAGGACGAAGGACGCGGCCTTGGTCATCTCGGCCTCGGTGACCGATGGGTTCTCCTTCTTGGAGCTCTGGCCGCTGGCCAGGGCCACGGAAGAAAGACGGAGAAGGTTGTAGTAGCGGTTGTAAGCGGCGGCGTGGAAGAGGTAGTTCTCGCTGACCAGGAAAATGCGGGCGAGCTTCTCGTAGTAGTTGGCCATCATGATGTTCTTGGCGGGGCGCTTGCTGAGGTTCAACAGGGTGTGGATATCCTCAATGCTGCGGAAAGCCTCCTGCCACAGCTCCAACTCAACGGCAACGTTCAACTGCTGGAAGCGAGTGTCGAGGTGACGCTGCAGGGTATCGGCGTCGCTCAGGTTGATGGCGTGCATCTGCGAAGAGTACTTGGCGGCATTCTGGACGTGGTTGCGCAGGAGCTCACACAGGCGGCGGAATTCGGTCTTGCGGGCGTACTTCTGGCAGAACTTGAAGGCCTGGAGGGCAGTCGACTGGTACATAATCTCGAGACGGGCATTGTTCTTCAGGATCTCGAGAACGGTGCGGTAGGTCTCCCAGAGGAACTTGAGCCAAGGGGTGACGACGGCGCGGTCGGTACGGTCGCGAGACTGCTCACCGGAGACAGTAGCAAGGAGGATGGTCTCGGGGGTCTCGATGGCCTCCAAATCCTCAACGTTGGAAGAAGGAGCGGCGGACTCGAGGGTCGACTGGATCTCGTCGGCCTTGGCCTGAGCCTCGGTGACCTTTTGCTCGGCGAGCTCGATGAACTTCTTGAGAACAATCTGTAGAGATAGAAGAAATCCTAGATTAGTGACAAGTCACGATTTTTTTTTTTTTTTTCAAGAGCGATCAACACGAACCTCGATAGTGCCGACATTGGTGTTCTGGGCGATGTTCTTGTACTGGTAAAGACCATCCTTGGCTGCCTTACCCTTGCGAAGGTCGACGGACAGCTCAACAAACAGGAGCATCACCGGCTCGAGGGAGGCGATGGGGCTGCTGCGGGTGCGCTTGGAGGTGACATGTTCGTGGAGGACAGTCAAGGCGGCGGCGGACTGGCCGACGGCAATAAGTTCCTGAGCCCTCTGTTGGAGATAGAGTCATTAGCAACCGATGTATCTTGTATTTCGCGACGACGGCGACGGCGACGCTTACCTTGAGGACATTCTCAGGCTTAATATGCGGAGGGGGCGGCATGATGGGTGGATGCCCCTTGGGAAAGGATCAAAGGTGACTGATATGAAATTAAAAATTGGAAAAAAAAAGTTAGGTGAAGCCAGCGACACACACGGGCAGCTGGGTAGAATGCGATTAGACTGCCACGCGAATACCCGATAACGAGGGGAAGATTCACAATGTGCGTGTTGAGGCCAGAGCAAAAATTGGATCCCGCCAATGTTCCCACTTCGCGTTAAGCGATGGCGATCACGTGTGTTGGCCTGAGGCATAAAGTCAAGTACATGGGCAGAGGTGTCATATTTGCTTACTGTGCATTGTGATAATGATTTATTATAGGTCGACTAAAATATTCCAGGTCATCTACTCCGTACTAAAATTATAATCACAGCTAATTCTCACTCCGACCCCGACAATGTACATAGTTACGGAGTACGGAGTGGTTGATTATAATCTATCAGAGTTCGACCAGGAAGTACCGGGTACATGCTGTGTATTGAGATCCACCTTATAAAACAATAGTACCCTCAACCCATTCCAAGTACCGGGTACTTCCCCCCCGAATAATTCCCTCCCCAGTAGTCCGTACTCCGTACTCCGTATACCAAACGTAACGTGTAAGGAAAAATAGGGAAACCCACGGACCTGCCCCAGGGATCTCCTCAGGAAAATCCCCTTTAGACAGCCCATTCATTTATCCATTCTCTCTCTTTAACTCGAAACCCGACTCCTTCACCTTCCTTTTTCTTTCCTTCCTCTTTGTCCGGCGTCTTGGCCCCTGATTACCCGGCCCCCCCCCCCCCCCCCCCNNCCCCCCCCCCCCCTAACCTAATTCTTACGCCCTTGGGACACCTGCCGATCCAAAACCCCCTCTCCCCCCTTTCTCCATTCGCGCTTCCTTCAAAGCTCAACTCGTCACGATGGCTCCCTACGAACTTCGATCCGGGGGTGATGTTAAGAATAAGAAGCAAAGTGTCGCCGACTTGAAATATCGTCGGTTGACCGAACTCAATGGTCGTCTAAAGGAGGATCTGGACCGTCCACGGGTCAAGGTCTCCGAGGCAGCTCTCTCGTCCGTTCAACCCTTTGATTCAACAAAGAAAAGACAAGCCAAATCTAACACCTTCAACAGTCTCATCAGTTACTGCAACAATACTCGCGACTTTATGGTTCCATCCGTATGGGGACAGGTATGCGACCGGCTTTTTCTATCGACTCATCGCGCGCGCCCATATCCAAAAACTAACACCTCTATTCTCCTAGGTCGACAAGCGCGAGGATCCCTACGCTCCTCAGCAACAGGGAGGTTGCTGCACCGTCATGTAATGCACTCACGACGGGAACTTTTCGCCATGACCCATTTCGCTCTCATTTCTCTTCTTCTTTTCCTTTCTATCTAATTCCGGACCCATTCACGACCACACCCCCCTTGGACCCGAACAAAGCACTACGATTGCTCGCGCGGACAAAGATGTCGGCGTGAAAGAATCGTCTGCTGGTCTTGCACGAACCCTTCCACGCCTCCGGGGATCATACGAGTCTCGTTGTGTTTTGTCGCCCTTTCCGCCCTTCCGGTCCCCTTTGTCCGAGGACTCTGCAGACAGTGCACTTGACGATGCACCTGTTGCGCCTTACTTCTTCTTCTTCTTCTTCTTCGAATTGCACCATTCCCCCTTCTCGCTATGTTTGTTTGGAATCGGCCTTTTCTATTTCTTTTCTTCTTTCTCTTATGTATCCTTTTCTTACGGGTTCTCAAATCTTCAAAAAGCCTCTATGTCAAGTCAGGGCGTGAGAGTTGCCATTCATGTATCATAGATTCGCATGACCAATACCATACCGATCTAATCGTATTGAATTTGCTTGTAATTCGGCCCCAAATTCCGACAATCTCGTCTTGCGATTTGCTTGGCTGGAATGACCCGGTAGTCAGGTTCAGCCCTCGGCCGGTTGTTTTGGCCTTGCGTGGCTTAGATTGGCAATGGGTAGGTCTTGCTAGCCTGGTACTTTTGTATATATTGAATATCCTGGACAAATATAGCGGATTTATGATCCAAATTCAGTACTGTATAATAAAAATGCAAGCAAGTACTTGATATACACCAAGTCAGCCTATCCCCGCTGACATCATCCAAAATTCCCATCCCACTAAGCACCTGGCAAGCTCTGGACATCAGCTTGAACATCCTACATATCGCCTATCACCTGTCTAACCAGAAATACGGCCCCCAATACAAATACATCCACCTGCATACAAAATAACCCCGTCATCCGTCATCCGTCATCGTCATCCCAAACACTCCACCCACACACCACAGTAACCCCCTCATCCAATCGCACCAGTCGCACCAGCTCAAACCCCCAACATCCATCATGGCCGAGTCTACACAGACATCGACCCCTTTAGACTCAACCCCCGATAACAGCGACAAAATCGCACCCGCGAACGTCCATCTCCCCCGCATCTCAATCCAATTCTGCACACAGTGTCGATGGATGCTCCGTGCCGCATATGTACGTGATTATCTTTCTTCCCTTCTTGACCTATCATGTTAGAAGTCTTTTAGTTAGAACTTTTTGAGCGGGGTTGGTATGGGATTAGTTGGTTTTATATTGGGTGTCTCGATACTTGATACTTGATACATATATTATCACTATCAACATGATCATAGACATGGACATAATATACAATTGACCTCGCCAATATGCATACTATATATACTAACACAAAATCAATAGTTCGCCCAAGAACTTCTCTCAACATTCAGCACAGATCTCGGTGAAGTAGCCCTCGTGCCTAAAACCGGTGGCGTGTTCACGGTGACGATATGGCATGGTGCGGTGCTTGACGGGGAGATCAGGACGCAGGAGAGTATTCTCTGGGATCGGAAGAGAGATGGGGGTTTCCCTGGTATGTTTTTCTTTTCTTTCTTTTTCTTATGATTTCGGATTTGGGTTGGGTTTCGGTTTCTATATATTCGTTATATACTGCGTGGAAGACTTGTTTAAGTGTGTTATTTCATCTAACCATCCCTTCACCTTCGCAGAAGTCAAAGCGCTCAAGTCCCTTGTGCGGAATGTTATTGCTCCTGATAGGGATTTGGGACATACGGATCGGGCGTTGAAGAAGGAGAAGGGTGAACAGAAGGAGGCGAAGGGTGAACAGAAGGAGGCGAAGAAAGAGGAGGAGAAGAAAGAGGAGAGTAAGGATAAGGCGAGTTGTGAGGATTGTCAGTAAGACGGGGTATTGAATATTGCTTTTACATGCCGTCTACCTCTACATTCAGTTCCTTTATGTAGAAAACTCATCTTGAGATCATGCTAGCATAATGCTGGAACACATGTATATTACTTGGAGCCCACTCCTGTTACAATCACTACAAGTCTGAAAACAATAATTTTATCACTGTACACATCACATTCATTATCGCGCAGAGCGGAAGAGTCTAACAAGAGTCCATGTAAAGAAAAAAGAGAAAAAAGAAAGACGCAAAAGGACCAAGTACAGGGGAGAAAAGAGGAAAGCTCACTCCTGTAAGAGATAGAACGCCGGCCTATCACCGAACTCTAGGACAAGAGAGAACCGCCCAAAACATCACACGAGGGCGGGGCAGAAAAACAAAAAGAGAGATGAAGGAAGGTGTTGAGGTAAGGATAAAAGAAAACAGATATGCGTGGTCATCACACGGAAGTAGGTGGGTGATCCCGATGCAAAAGATCCGATGACAGATGTAGCGGGACACCGATGCCAGTATCCATCTGAGAGGAATACATGATAAAGCGTGACTCTCGGCCTCAAAAGGAGGTGAGGGGATAGAGTAAAACATACAATCATCTTGTCTTGATGCTGTAACTGCTCAGACAAGATTTGTATTTGCTTTCGTGTCTGAGACAAACTCAAGACGTCTAGCAGAAAGTAAGATGGTATCGTTATCGACTTCGTAGAGTCGTGACCAGGAGAGCCAATGCGGTGGGGAAAAGAAATCCAAAGTCTGGCTTCTTCGACTGGTCGAGTCGTGAATTCATGGAACACCAGTGTGGTCTCAAGCCTCATTGCAAAATGAAATGTTCATAGAACCATGGCAGCATTATACACAGCTGGAGATGCTTCAAAAACGAAAAAAGCACCAGCCAGGATGGTAAGAATCAGGTCTCACCGCGGACCTCGTGCGAATGGTTGCGACGCTTCCAAAAAGCAAGTCGAAGCCGACTCCTCCGCTTAGGGAGTCTGCGGGTACATTGAGAGTCATCCACTGGCGGAGGTTCATTTTTGATGCTTTCACCAGTAGTTGTCGAATGGGTCGTGCTGCGGGTTCCGGGAGCTCCCAGCCTGGAGAAGTCTTTGCCGGTACCATCTTCAGATCGAGTTTGACCACGAGCGATGATAGAGCTACGACCGGGGCTGTAACCGCCCGCAGGCTCCGATACGTTTGAAGGGTACGCGTCCGCTGTACTGGGACGTGTGCTATTGTCGTCAGGCGCTCCAATATCACTTTGGGCGGCACTTTCCCCAGAAACTCGCTTTTCGTCGCCGCTATCCACAGCCAAGAAGCTCGAGGCATTAGTTGCGGGAGAGATTGGTGTCATGGTGTTGCTGTAGGTGCTGTGTGTTCGTGTGCAACTATTGCGATTTGAGCCCGTGCGAGCAGACGAACTATTGTGCGCATGGTGACGTTGGGAGCCACGTTGAGAACCATGTGGAAGACCCTGGCGGGAGCTGCTTGGTCTCTCGGCAGCCCCAGACGCATGGTCACGCTCTACTGATCCTGATGAAGTACCACCACCGAAGGCCGAGTTAGCATACAAGACGGCGGCTAGAACAGCCGGATCGTCGGTAACAGGGCTTGTTTGTGTAAGAGGGCTGTGTAGCTGTGTCGATACAGACCCACGAGCAGACTCTGGCATTCCTGGGATGGAGAAACCAGAAAGGTCCGGCATAGCACTAGAAGACTTCCGAGAGGCAGTCGCCAGCGCAAGGGGACTTCCTGTGATCTCAATCTGAGGACCCGCGGTATCGGGCGACACAACCGGTTCGATATTGTTTTCGTTGAATTCACCAGAGTCTGAACTCATGGGAGATTTGACTCTATCCGCAGCACCATCTCCTGAATCGACGTGCCCCTTTTCAGAGGCTTCAGGGCTATGGGAGCGAGGTGAAACAGTGATCTCGGCCCGTTTCTCAATCGGAAGACCTTGCTTCTTCAGCTCCTCATTAGAAAGTTCTTGCCACTGTGCCTGGTTGCGAAGGATGTGCTCTGTAGTGAACTGCAACTGCGGAAGAAGGTCGGAAATGCCTTCGAAGAGCGGCAAGGCGAATATTGACATGAATCCAATTTGACCAGTAGCCAGTTTGTAGATGTTCCCTAATTCGGGTGGCCCGCCAAATAAGGCAGTTTCCATTCCAACCTCCCTTTCCATCTCGCCTTGGTTGGCGAATTCCTCTTGCAGAATTTGCGTCCACTTCTTGGCAACTTTCCATGGTCGAGCCACATTACTGATATCGGCACATTTGATCAATAATCCACAAACGAGAGTCTTGTACATGTCGACATCTTGCGGCTTCCAGCCATCAACAGATCGGTGGTTTTCGGAGAACTTTTCTTGGAATGAGCCCATTCGCTGCATGAACTTTTGGTGCACACCCATGTCAGTAGCCAGGATAGAGCTGATGAGGAGCTTTCGCAGCTGATTGTCCTTGAATGCTGCGGGCCAGTGCCGACGCAAAATTTGAGAAAAGGCGGCGCAATGGAACGCCTCCAAGACGGAATTGTCGTTGTAGAGTTGAGCAAGAGGTGCGTTGAGTTTGACGAGGAAGAAATTGTTGACACCTGGGTGGCCAACGTCATGACCAATGGCTGAAATAAGGAGAGTAAGGGTGTCGAATGGTGTGAGGAGAGAGGTGATGGGACTTTCAGGGACAGGAGATTGACCAATGGATTCATATGGAGGCAAGGCACCAATGTTTAGCAGGAAGCAAAAGACGGATTGCAGGACATCAATCGCATGGCGGAAATTGTGATAAAGCACAAAGGAATTATAGGCGGCGCGGCAAGCGAGAAGGAAAGTTTGCAATTCATCGGGGGTCAATCGCCAAGGGTCCAGTCCCGGCATGGTGAAAGCATGCTGTATCATCTCACAGGCGCCAAAGACCAGTTCGTCCTCGGTAAACTCGTGAGCGCAGAACTTCCAACTGCCTACCTGCTCTTTGATAAAAGGGATACGTGAGAGATCAATGTTGAGATCCAGCTCCTGGAATTCATCATGTATGACTTCTTCTGGGTTGCAAATTCCTTTCATGAGCTTTGAAACCATGGCTTCTCTTAGATATGAATACGGCTGTTCATCATGCACACCAACCCAAGAAAGCTTTCTTTGCTTCCTCCGTGCGAGAAATCGGGACATCTCTCTCTGGGCCGCTTTACGGGTACGGTAGGCATGAACCACGAGCCCTTGAATCCGCGACCGATCTAGCGGAGTGGTCAAGACGTCCATAGCACCGGCATCAAGACAGCGGGCAACCTGCTTGTGCTCCACCGTGATAGGTCCTTGAGGATCTGGTTGACTGGTAGGGCCGGTAGCCGCATTATCGCTGGGTGCATCGGAAGTAGGGAGACGCAAGATAGCAATGGGGATGACCAAATTCGGGCCCTCTTGGGCTTGGATGTCGTTCGAAATACCTGATAGAAGGGACAGGCCCCGTGCTTCGTCGGACTGCGTTGAAAATGTGAAAGTGCGGTGGATGGAGCCCGGTGACGGCGGAGTGTTGTCTGCCCAGGAGGCGCGACTGGCCTTTCGACGAGCCAGGTTCGACTCTTCGCCGCTAAAGTCCACCTCGAAGAATGCGAAAATCGGGTTACACTCGCTGCCCGACCGGTCGCTGAGCTCGGCTAGCTTGGTGGCAAAGGAGGAACCATTGTGGCAGAGATAAACTGCAAGACCGGGGAGTAATTAGTAAATCATCAAACACAGGGCAGTCTGCAGAACCTACCTTGTTTGCAAACCAACAACAGCTGCTCCACATCCGCCTGCAGGGCCTCTGGTTCGTCGGGAGTTGAAAAGGAACCTACGGATGATACCGTTGAAGCATCGATGGAAGTTCTGCGCACCCATCTCTCGGACCGCACTCGGTCATCGATGTAGAGACCCGCGCAATCCACGCGGTCAAACATGGTTGTTAGAAGGTATAGAGCGACCCTCGATCAAACAGTGTCGCTGAAATCACAAGATTGGTAAGAAGCCAATCGAAGTGAAGAAGAGAGAAGGAGTCGGTTGAAGCGGTCCTGACTCGCATGTGGCTCAGATGACGAAGACCGAGGCGTTTGGCTGGGGGGTGTGATGGGAAAGTACGGGGTGACGGGGGCGGTTTCGAGAGGTAGGAAGGGAAAAAAAAAAGAGCGGCGAGGTTGGGGGGGATATGGAAGATCGGGAGAGATCCGAATGAATCGGCACAAAGAAAGTCGGATGAAGGAATGGCAGGAGTCGGCAAGCAAGCTCTCAGTTCACCGAATCGAACAATGGAGTTGTTTCCTGCAGCGAGGCAATCCGAGTCGCGTTGTGGACTGGAGGTTCCGAGACAACCCCCCAGAGCCTAGACTCTTAGAATTGTCGCACTAAACAGATCGCGAAACCCACTTTTTCCACCCCGAGATCGGATTCGGAAGAGCGATGGGATGAAAGCGACACGTGAGTCGAGGAAGGGGGTTCAATTGGAGGTGAAAGAACAGAAAGGGAGAAGCGGGAAAGGACGTCAGTTCGACATGGTGGTGTAGCGTGTGAGCGTGTAAGCGGTGAGAATCAACAAAGAAAAAGAAGAAAAAAAAGAAGAAAAGAGAAATGTTGAAGTTGTACGGAGAGTAAAAAGAGCAAAGACCCAAAGCTGAGGACAGTGGAGGGGCGAACACGGGGAAGGGGCTTCTTTCCTCCTTCCAGAAGGCCTTGGGGCGGGACGGGATGATCCTCAAGTAATCTTAGTTACAGTGTTACTAGGGGTGTATTGTATTTTGGTTATTAACATGTGTTTCTTACTTAGGTTGGTAGTAATCTTGATATATAATCGTTAATAGGCAAATGATTATCTATCTATATATACTACTCCGTATATATCTCCCTTTTCCACCCCCCTCTATACCATCTCTTCTCTAGCAGAGCCTCCGATCGTAACCTGTGGACCCAATGACGCCTCTCATTTTTTTTCTTTCTAGAAGGTCAGTGGGTTAGTAAGCGCAGATTCTGTAACAC